GCCGGAGCAGGGAGACATGCAGCCGCCCGGATGGCGGCGGGGCTCGGAGCCGAGGCGGGCAGGCGCCGAGAGCGACCTCGCCAGACCCGCGAGAGAACTAGCAGGCTCCGCCGGAGAGGGAGGGTGGGCTGAGGCGCGGTCGAGGAGAGAGTGCCCGAAGGCCCCCAGGCGGCCGAGGAGACTCGGGGGGTTTTCGCAGGCCTGCTCCGGACCTCTGCCCTAGGTCCTCCTAGCTCTGAGTCGGGCTTTCAGGCCAGCTCTCGCTCCTCTCTCCCACCTCTCGGAGCGGGCGGTCAGCGCCCACCCTCATCCCCGGGAGCGTAGCCACCGGCTTGGGGCGCACGCACGCCGATCGCCGCGCCAGGCTTTGGCGCCTACTTCGCGGTCCCCGCACTGCCGAACGGCACTCACGAAATTTTTTGGGAAAAAGTCACCCCTATCTCCCCTCCAAAATCTCCTTTGGTTCTTAACACCCTGGAAACGGTGAGGGAGCGACGGGCTCCGGCAGACGAGTTGCTCTGGGAGCCGGTTCAATCCAGCCCGGCATGGCTCCCCAGGCCTGCCCGGGCGCATGGAGATCCGCTCAGCTACTACTCGTAGCAACCCTTCTCCCCCGAAATCTGCGGCTTCGGGGCTCACTTACCGAGCGTGTGGATGGGAGCGGAGGCCGGGGGCACCTGGGAGCGCGGCGGGCTGAAGAGCCGGGCCGCAGCTCCGCCGCAGCCGACGCTGGGGCGGCCAGTCGCCAGACAAAGCCCGAGATGGCGAAGCGGAGCGACGGCTAATGGCGAGCCCCACGCGCCGCGCTCCGCCCGCCCCGCTCCGCCCGCCCGCCTCGGCGCAGCGCAGCGCCGCTCCGAGCGCTCGCCCGTCAGAGCCGCCTCGGCGCCGCCGCCTCCCGGGCCACCCTGGCCTCGCCTGGCCCCTCCGCCTCCTCCGGGCGGCTCAGCCTCACCCCTTCCCTCCCACCGCTCTAGGGGCTGCATGAAAATAAAAAGAAAAAGAAAAATGTTTTCCATTTTTTTTTCTTTTAAAACAAGGCTGGCGTGTTGATACTTTTGAGTCTTTCTGCCCCCAGCTCACACTCACCTGCGGAGCCGCCGTGAGGGCTTGGGGGTGGGGGCGCGCGGGGCTGGAGCCGGCGAGCGCGGGTTGAAAGCCAGCCAAGCTCTGCAGCGCCCGACCCGGGCGTGTACGCGGCTGCCAGTCCCCGCAGAGAAATCGTCCTCCTACCCCCGCCTCCATCGCTCTGCGTTTCTCTTCCAATCAGCCGGTCGCTTGGTGGCTCCTCCATTCTCCGGCCAAGCCCGCTGCCTAGAACGAGCTCCACTCCATCTGTTCGCCGGCTTCTCGCTCCCCTGCCGGGGCCGGCGAGGCGGCGTGAGGCTGGTGGGGGATTTACGAGGGAACCTGCCTGCTTCCCGCTCCCATCGCTCCATCCCCGCTGCCTCCTGCCTCCAGCTTCTCTCCTGCGTCTTTCCAACTCTCCCCTGTCGCCACTGGAGTGTATCTGAGTGTGTGCGCAGTTTTTTCTTTTTCGTTTTTTTTTTTTTATTGCTCTTTGCTTTTGCAACCTTGAAGCCAAGGGGGTGTGTGTAAAAAAAAAAAAAAAAAAGCCAAGAAAGAAGCTCTTTAGATTTGCAACACATCGGAAAACCGGGGGAGCACCCCTGCTCGTCCGATCTCCATGCCCAGCGAGGGCCTTCCGGGTTTTAGAGCGAGCCTCTCGTCGTTCTCAATGCCTCCACACTTTCGCCGGGCTGAGGATCCGAGGAGTCCGGGCAAAAAGTTCTCCCCTTGGGTCGCAGTGAAGGTGTCAGGGTGGAAGTTGGGGGAATTTTTCGAGACGCGGCAGCCATCCCTCCTACCCCGGCTCCGGTAACTGGGCTGGGGTGGGGATAAAGAGCAAAATCCCGGTGGGTTTTTGGGAAGAAGCTTGGAGGTGGGAGTCAGTACCCGAAGACCGCCATTCGCACATCACCCCCTCAGTCTTCTACCTCCTGTCCCCTGCCAGCTCCCCCTTTAATTTTTTTTTTTCTCTCCTTTAATCTAATTTCTTCCAACTCCACCTTTGTTGTTACCGGCGTCACGCCCGGACCAGCCAATCCCTGCCACGCAATCAGCTTGTCAAAAAGGCTCGGCCAGCCCTGGGAAAGCAGGCCGCAGGCGCTGCCCCCGGGCGGTGGCGGGGAGCCGCGAGGGGAGCCCGGCACCCCGGCCTCGGCGCTGGAGCTGCAGCGGGGTTAACCTTCGGTTAGGTCTCCCGCAGTCCACTATCTTGCGGGCCCAGGATAGAAAGAGCTAGGCGAGGACCACCATCTACCCTCCAGCTGCCACGGCTGTGGTGTCTGTGTTTGCTTCCCCTTCTCAGAGGTTATCAGGACAGTACACGGAGCCAGAAGACAATCTGAAGGACTCCTGCTTTCAACAGACCTAGCCTACGGTCTGAGCTACCGCTCTTGGCAGCGCCATTATTCCTGGCTCCCAGGTGGCTAGTCTCTCACACCAACACTGCTCCTGCCCACATCTTGGCCAGCTGGGTCATTCAGCCCCTTTGGTCGGTCCCTTGTCGCAGCCTTCTCCATCCTCACACCGCCCTCTTTGCTTCTGCTGTAATTCCTCTTGTCTCCTAGGAGAAGAGATTCCTTTCCCAGGACTTCACATCCCAATTTGCCACGTTTCAAAAACCGGGAGGAAAATCTGGTCAAGACCTGGTGTGTCTGGTTTTTATTTTTATTTATTTATTTATTTATTTTTAGAGACTCTCACCTTATCGCCCTCGGTAGAGTGCTGTGGCATCACAGCTCACAGCAACCTCCAGCTCCTGGGCTTAAGCGATTCTCTTGCTTCAGCCTCCCGAGTATCTGGGACTACAGGCGCAGGCCACAACACCCAGCTATGTTTTTGTTGCAGTTTGGCCGGGGCTAGGTTCGAATCCGCCACCTTCCATATGGGGCCTGGGGCCGCGCCCTACTCACTGAACCATGGGGGTCACCCCCCCATGTCTTTTTTTTTTTTTAGATGGCACTGGCATGTTGAAGAGGCAGATTTACTGTGATGCTAATGAAGTTTAAGCTTCAAGGCCCTTTACTTGCAAGGTCTGTCCAAAGCTCTATATTTAGTTTCATATTCATCTTTTTTCTTTTTTAAAAGAGCAGTCTCCGTTGTACAAGTTTCAGCTCCACAAACCCAGATCAGTGCTTGAAACATACACAGTATTTGTGTAGGATTGAATCATCTCACACTGCACTGAAATTTGGTATACAGCTAACTTTATTGATTTGACTGGGAAAGGACCAAAGGTTTGGAATCAAAAGTCCCAGCCCCCACCCTTTTATTTTATTTTATTTTTTTTAAGAGACAGAGTCTCACTTTGTCACCCTTGGCAGAATGCTGTGGCGTCACAGCTCACAGCAACATCCAGCTCTTGGGCTTAGGAGATTCTCTTGCCTCAGCCTCCTGAGTAACTGGGACTATAGGTGCCTGCCACAAGGCCTGGCTATTTTTATTTTTTCTTTTTAGTTGCAGTTTGGCTGGGGCCGTGTTCGATCCCACCACCCTTGGTATATGGAGCCAGCGCCCTACTCACTGAGCCACAGGTGCTGCCCCCCACCCTTTTTTTTTTTTGGAGACAGAGTCTCTGTTGCCTGGGCTAGAGTGCCATGGCCTCAGTCTAGCTCACAGCAATCTCGAACTCCTGGACTCAAGCAATCCTCCTGCCTCAGCCTCCTGAGTAGCTGGGACTACAGTTATCCCTGGCTAATTGTTAGTAGAGATGAGTCTCATATTGGTCAAGTTGGTCTTAAACTCCTAAACTCAAGGGCTCCTCCCACTCAGCCTCCCAGAGGGCTAGGATTATAGGCATAAGTTACTGCACCCAGCCCCCACTGTCTTCATAATATTTGTATTTGAACACAACTTAACCTCACCTAGTTCCATAGGTGACTAGTTTCCATATCTGTAAAATTAGAATTGTGATTCTAGGCCAGGCGTGGCATCTCATGACGCCAGCATTCTGGGATGCCAAGGCAGGAGAATTGCTTGAACCTAGCAGTTCAAGACCAGCCTGGACAACATAGCAAGACCCTGGCTCTACTTAAAAAAAAAAAAAAAATTCTATTTATTTCACTTTCTTCATCAGGAATTGGAGGGTCAAATGAGATGATATATGTAAAACTATAAAACACTCCACAGATGTCACTAGCCATGTTACAATGGGAGAATATGGAATCAGAGACCCCAAGAAAGTTCCAAACCTACACACAGATCCCAGAGCCCAAGTGTCCTGGTTCTTGGCCCTGAACTTCTTGGCTAGGTCAACGGGCTTTTCGGTAAAGTGCTTTGGAATAAAACAGGATGAACATGAATCATAAGAATGATTATTATTGATTCCTTGGGCAGCAAAAATCATGGCTGGCACCCTTCCCACTTGGAAACCAATTGGCTTGTATTACATCTATTGCATCTGTGGTGAGGTCAGGAGTCCAGGACTCTGGTTACATGCCAGAGTGTGAGAGAATCTGCCCTTGGCCTTTTTTCTTTGCCCCTGCTTCCAATTTGTCTTCCTCCCCCTCTTCCAGTTTACTGGCATGTGTCTTGAAGCAGAGCCTCAGCATTCAATAACCCTAGCCCAGGCTGGTGACAAAGCATAATCCTAGCTATGCAATCTCCGCTTGGCTCCAGCCCTTCCACAGGTTGCCAGCATCCAAGCCCAAGCTCATATAAAACCCAGAGTGCCTGGAAGGCATTAATCAAAATGTGGGATTTTAATTCTTTCCTAGTGTGCAAGGAGTAACTTTAAATAGTACACAGATATTAGTGTCCAAAAAGTCACCATACATAGGGAACATGGGAAATTGTAGCTAAATGTCTCTTTATTTACAAAATATTCATCACAACATTTTATAAAGAGGTGGCAAACACAGAGAATATTTTGTAAATATTTTGTAAAATTTTGTAATGAATATTTTATATATACATATATATATATTTATTTTATTATTTTATTTTTATTTTTTTGAGACAGAGCCTCAAGCTGTCACCCTGGGTAGAGTGCTGTGGCATCACAGCTCACAGGAACCTCTACCTCCTGGGCTCAAGCGATTGTCCTGCCTACACCTCCCAAGTAGCTGGGAATACAGGTGCCTGCCACAATACCCGGCTATTTTTTTTTGGTTGCACAATAGCCACAATACCCAGCTATTTTTTTTTGGCTATTTTTCATTGTTGTTTGGTGAGCCCAGGTTGGATTCGAACCTGCCAGCTCAAGTGTATGTGGCTAGTACCTTAGCCACTTGAACCACAGGTGCCAAGCCAATATTTCATATTTTTAATGTGTATTGTAAATGTTCTATGTTAAAATTTTTATTTAAGATAGTGGTATAAAGACTCATTTTTCAGGGGAGTCTTTTTTTCTTTTTTTCTTTTTTAATATATATTCTTTATTTTATGGAGTTAGCATTCAAGTTTAGCTACACAGTCAATTCTACTTTCCCACCACTATAAAAGCAGAAAAATTTTCCACAGAACCATACTCTCAAATGATTAAGCAAAAAAATACTACAAAAGAAATTTTACAGTTCCTTTGCTTCTATTTCCTCATTTGGTAATATTATCTACCATGTGATGGCAATGTTAGGAATGGAAACTGGAAACATTAACAAGGACAAAACCACCTCCAGAATTGAAGAACTCCGTACATTGACCTCCTCCTTAAATTGACCTAATTTTGACAGACTAGACATGCACCACATGTATGTATCAGCACAGTAGGCCTAGTTCCTTATGTTGACCACCTCTGTATGCTGACCAGTTTATGATAGTCCCTTACATTGGTGGTCAACTTACAGAGATTCTACTATTAAGATCTTCAGGCAAGTTGTGGTGGTTTCTGCCTAGAATCCCAGCAGCTCTGGAGGTTGAGGTGAAAGGATCACTTGAGGCCAGGAGTTTGAGACCAGACATTCCATCTCTGCCTGCTGGATCTTAAATCGGTTGCGGAGTG